TATATTTACTCTCTTATCACTGGCATGTTCTATATCAAATGCCTTATTCTTTATTCAGCAAAGTATTTTGATAAGGAGGCTTTAAATATAGAAGAAATTTGAAAAACAAATGGGTTTTTAATTGTAATTTAAAAAGTCGTTAACGTTTCACTTTAATGATCCACCGCTGCCCCACCCCTCCCGTGTTTGAGTGAAATACATTTGGCCTAGGCCTTTCATGATCATACTTTAATCTTCAACCCAGTATCACTTTATTAAGGTTACATTCTATTTCAGTTTGAAAAACCACCTAATACGCTACAAATATGATGAACAGAAGTGAAACCAGTATAAATGATACATTTTAATTGACTGGCAGATCTGGGAAGTTAAAGGTGGTAATTTAAACATTTTACATGAAAAGCCACATTTTCATAAATTAACTAAATTATGATGGTCATGATAAAAAAATAATAATAATAAATTATTTTTTATTACAATTTAACTGAGCTGTCAAAACAGTTTTGATTTGTCACATTTACTCATAGAACGATTTAAACTTATTCATAAGTTTCTGTGAATCGCTAGATTGTGATGGTTATTTTAAATGTTAACAAACAACTGTATATAAAGTGTTCGTACAATGTTCAGTGTTGTAAGTCTTACCAGCTCATTTAGAAAACTTGTTCATGTTTGCGTTATTCAATGAATTCCAAAGTGTATCAGCAAATTAAATGTGGAATATATGCTAGTTCTTATATAAATCACCATGAAATGTCATTCAAAAATCAAAATACACTTAAAGTTATTACACCTCATGATTATTTAAGCTTTTATTTTCCCGAATTATTAAACATTAATGGTTTGTTTTTGTTTTGTTTTTTAAGTTAAGCATCAAGTTACACCACGGATATCGAAACCCGGTTTCTAGCGTTGTAAGTCCGCAGACATTCCGCTGTGCCACTGGGGGCCAAACATTAATGAACAACTAAAACATTATAATTGATATGGATGAAAGTAGTCAGTTCTTAGTACACAGATGTTATTTATTCGAGTCATTCCTATATTCGAGTCCCAAAAATAAACTATTGATATTGTAATTAATTACTGCCCTTAGCCTTGACATTACATCACATAGAGAAGGAGAGAATTCATCTAATTATTTGTTTCAGTTCTTTACACTTTACGCTGTAACAAAAAATATTTTAGAAAAGTAAACGTACTCAGCATGATGTAATATGTAGACCCTATAGTGAATGATATCAAAAGAAGTCGGCATTTTAATTGTCAAGAGAAGAAACCTGAACTTCATCAACAGAAATTAGAACATCAACTATCGCAACAGTAGAGATGTACCATAATGGTTCTCTCTGATCAAGTGAGAAAGCATCAACCTGATTCTCAACTAAATCAATACTTGTGAACTTCGGATGTAAGAGTTATTGAGTTTAACTAATTACACTTGTTATAAGACATAGATATTAGACCTGTTATATTGTTAAACATCATAGTCTTTTCATAATCCCTTAAGAATGTTCAAGAATTAGAAGAGTGTATACTAATAGTATTTCAACCATACTATATTCGTTGCCAATGGCATGTTTCGCTCAATCCAGAGCTCTTCAGCCTCAGGACGGCTTGGATACAACAAACACAGTAGTGGTCGAAACACTTTATTTAAGCTATTTGTTACAACAACGCTTACTGTAGTGAAATGCCTTTTCCAAACTTGCGGCCATGATTGTGTTACGTATCTGCTTGTTTTTTAATTTCCGATAGAAAAGCTTTTCGAGGAACTTCAGCGATACAAGTCCTTTCTTGATTAAACCAGTTTATTCTTTTTTGATACAAACTTTTAGTACACAGTAATTCCCCAGTCAGTACGTTTCTCGTCACTTTAAACTTAACTTTAATAATACAAACGGCGATTCACAATCTCGATTATTTCGCTCTCTACGAGTGCAAAACACACAATAGCTCGAAACAGAATCGTAAATTAACCGAAACTCACCGTAGCTACTGTTCGCTTTATCATCCCCTGGCTTTTCTCTGCCAGGTTTATATACTAACGAAGAGGCATCTCCAAAATTCGTGGACTTCCCCGATAATTCGAGAAATTCAATCACGCATGCGCCAGCAGCGTCACGTGACTTTCGCTGTCGTAACAATTGTAACTAACTTACAGTTGACTTTTTCTGTACACTTTGTAAACATACCATCTGTTGGCACCGATCGTCCAGAAGATCGTCTTAGAAGCAAAGTTTTAGTCTTTGCTTTCACAGTTATGCTATACATTATATTGCTGGTTATCTTAGCCTCAACTGTATCAGTGTGGTAGCCATAGCTGATATTTTGTTTGCTGGCAATACTTTTTTGAAGTGGCTATCAGCTCTCCTCTCTCTCCTCATTCTCTGCTCATCTCTTTCTCTGAATGCCCCCCCCCCCCCCAGTGGCACAGCTGTATGTCTGCGGACTTACAACGTTAGAAACCAGCAGTGGTGGGATTCAGCCGGTTCGCACT